GCCCCTTCTCCATCTCCTCACAATCTTGTCCCAACAACTTCCCCTTCCCTCCTTCTCCTCTGCCCCTCTCTTCAGAATTGGTTGTCTCCAGGGATCCCGTCAAAGCAAAGAAGTGCTCCGGCCATCTCGGAGTGTTCTCCATCCCACCATGGGCTTTCCTGCTCTTGTTAAAGCCCTGCCCTGCTCCATCTCTGGCCTCTCCCCTCCAGAGCTCTGCCTTCTCCCGCAGAGCTCCAAGCTCCACCGCTTTCCTGTGGGTCTTTTATAGGCAGGAGAAAGGGCTTAGCCAGAAAAAGCCGGTGGACAGTTTCCAATCCTTCCAATCCTAGGTGCTAACACTGACTAGTTCTTTCTCAAATTCCTTAAATCCTGCTCCCCCTCCCGGCTCCCTGGGCCTTGCTCCTTTTTCTCTCAAAAGTTCTTTCCAGTTTCTTTCCCACCACACAGGAGGCACACTTGACACAGACCCTTCCTGGGACACTCTTCCCTTCCACATCTACCAGCTCGCAGATGACTCGCTTGGTTGGCACCCGTGGCCCTCCCCAGAACAGACACGGGCGGACCACACTTTAAGTTATCTCTTCTACTGTGCTTGAGTTAAATTACTTTTCACCAACTGGGAGGAACTGACGAACATGATCAGAATCAACCCTATGCCCCAAACCATCAAACCGCATTTGATTTCTGTTCTGGTTTCTTGTCTTATCTTCCAGGATGATTTAAAAAATAAAATTCTTTCTTATGACATATTGTTTATGGTTAATATCTGAGAGAACCCGGTCACGGTTTTTGATGATTTTAAGAGCTCCCTGGAAAGTGACTGCATTGTAATACCGATGCAATTAATGTCATGTCCAGGGCTATAAGTAAAGGTGATTATTACCATTGCAGAAGAGAAAGTTGAGGTGTAGTATAATTAAGAGTTTTAAGTTCATTTTAGTTGACTTTACTTGTTTTTATTTGAAAAACTGACCAGCTTATTTTTATAATATTGGGATTTAACTCTTTCTTTTCTCTATCTGGTTTTACTATATTTCCTTCTAATGAGCCAGAGCCTTACTGCCAAGAAGCAAATTACAATCACTTCCACGCCAGCTGGGGCTGGGCTGGTGGGAGGCGAGGTGGTCAGAGCGTTCTTTACTCAAGCTCTGAGCCCGGCACTTACCTATCTGTAACCTTATGAGAGTTGTGCTTCCCTCTAAGCCCCGATTTTCTCTTCTGTAAAATGGAGTGAACATAGAACCCTTCTGTCAGAGTGGAGGTGAGACATGATAACCGAGTTCAGTTCAGCATGTGACATGACCAGCACTTCGCGGATGGCAGCTGGGAGCCAAGTTGTCCCACGGACCTGCAGCTCCGCCTCCGCTTTGTTCACTCAGTCCTGTGCATGATACTATTCAAGAGCAGCAAAGTGACCTGTCAGGGGTTTTTGTGTGTTTGTTTTGTGGGGGTTTTTTTTGTTGTTGTTTTTTTGCCAGTACTGGGAATTGAACTCAGAAACTAAATGTTGTCATTTAGCTTTTTCACTCAAGACTGGTACTTTACCAGTTAAGCCACAGCGCTACCTTCAGCTTTTGGTTGGTTAACTGAAGAGCCTCACAGACTTTCCTGCCCACGCGGGCTTCAAACCATGATCCTCAGATCTCAGCCTCCTGAGCAGCTAGGATTATAGGTATGAGCCATCAGCACTCAGCAAAACTGGCCTTTCTTTTTTAAAAAAATTTTTTTTGGTTGGTTGTGGGGCTTGAACTCTGGGCCTAGGCGCTGTCCCTCAGCTGTTTAGCTCAAGACTAGTACTCTACCACCTGAGCCACAGCACCACTTCCAAAACTGGCTTTTCTTAATAAAATGAATACATAATGGTTCCCAAGAATCCCAGAGGGTTTTGGGTTTTGCATTTTAGTGACAAGGTGATCTGGATTCCACAGGGAAAAATCTGTGCTGTGAACCAACTTGCAGTGATAGAAAAACCCTCGGCTGGGCCTTCGTGTTTCTGAGATTCGCCATCTTCCCCTCCAGTCTTGTAGTAACTTCACAACACGCTGCTCTTTGGGATGGCAGCTTACAAGAATGTAGGGTTAAACGCTGCATTTTGCAAGGAATGCACATTATTTTCCAGCCTGGAAAACTTCACAATAACTTGGTTGCCTCTGGGTTTTTTTTGGGGGGGTGGGGAGACAAAAGAAGTTCTATTTTTTTAAATACCAATATACAGCTTGTGCTTTCATTAAGACAAGAGCCAGGCTGAGGACGGAAGGAAAAACTATGCAAGTAGGTAATAAGGCTACTAGGGTTTGAGAGTAAAAAGAGGGGTTTTAAACCCAGGTATGGGTTTTGTAAGCATCTTTTCAAACGCAATGTGTTCTGTTCGTCCCACTCCTGCCACTGAACCAGGAAAAAACAGAGACAAAAGTGCCAGCAGACAGGGAGGTCTACAGAAGCCTAAAAATAACAGCACATTGTTCATGGGAAACTGCATTTCCTTTTATACCAGTGAGTTCGCACCCTGAAAACCAGCTTATTTTTCAGTTTTAACATTTGAATAATCCCCAGTTTAGTCCTTAGAGCAGCTGTAACATTCATTGCTCCTAGGTTTTGTAAACACTCTTCCCCCTATTAATGAGGATATGGTCACTTATTCTGCATGAAATCATTAAGTAAAAGCAGCAGAATCCTGGCATGTTTCAGATGTTAAACCTAGATCCTACTGAATTAAGGTAAAACAATCCATATGCCTTAGAGGTTGTCAAAGTAAACAAGGGCATTACAAAGATCCGAATTTAATGCTAGAGTAAATGCTAGACAATTCTTTACTGTGGCGCACTGTCTTGTCCATTGAAGGATGTTCTAGAAACATCTCTGGTGCCTCCAGTGAGCAGCCAGTAGCACCTTCCTAGTATGACAATTAAAAAATGCCTCTGGGTAGAAACCATCCTGGAGTAGGGGTGGGGAACAGGCAAAATCACCCCTGATGGGAACTCTAGCGATGATCTAAATTCATCTTGGAGGTGCAGTCAAGGATTGCAGCAATGTGAGTGCTCCGACTGGCGCGCTGACCCTTGACTATTTATCTAAGGTGTCCTGCTTCATCCTGCCCATCTGTCAAATGGGCAGATAATATCCAGCCTACAGCACATGCTCAACAGATGTTAACCATTATTATTGTTTTTATCAATTCTATGTGATTTAAAACCTGATCATGATGCAAGTTAAAAATCCAGACAACAGAAACCTATTTAAAGTTTGAGTGCCGTTATAGTCTTACAGATGAACATCCCTACTTAGGCTTCAGAGAGGTCAAAATGTAGAAGCTCAGCTCTTGCATAATTCTGTACCTAATTTGCTAAATAGCTCCAGTTATTGCTTAACATATTTTTATCTCTCCAGTAGAGCTTCCTAATTCATCAAAATTATGGGCTGCTGCCAGCTGATCCTTTTGCAAATACAACTGCTCTCTTATACTAAAAAAAAATCTTGACATTATGCCTGGTCTTTTCCCTTGAGTTCTTTCTTCACCAATGGTCATATAAATATTATTATATTATCCATTGAAATGATAACAAAAGCTACCATTCTGAAGAGTAACTTACTGTGTGCCAAGCTAAGTGTTTCACATATGTTATTACTTCACTCAATTCTCCAAACAGTCTTAAAGACTAGGTGAGGATCTCAGAGAGGTACAGTTAACGCGCTTGCCCCAAATCATCCAGCCAGCGAAGATCAGAACAAGCAAAGAACCCAGGCAGTGCCTTCAAGGCTGTGTTTTCCAGACCCAACCTTGTCCTCAACCCTCAGAGACCCACTACTCCCCTCACAACCCAAGTTTCCCTTTCCACACCTTCCATCCCTTCCATGAACCCCACACTGCCACCCACTGACTTGGCCTGTCTCCACTCAAACCAAAACAAGCGAGGGGCAGGGGCAGTGCTCTGAATCCTTTCACAAGAAAAGCAGAATGACGGAGAGACAGACAGACAGACCTCATGCAAAGCATGTCCTCTGAAGGAGGACAAGGAAAAATTGTTGGGAAGATGAGAGGGTGAACTTACATGTGTATAGTACAAAAAAAAAAGCTCATCCAAGATTATACAAAGCAGGAGATTTGTCCACACTATCTCAGTAATCTAACTTCAGGTATAGTATACATAGTTTATGTCCAGGTGAGGAGGAGAGGTACAAAACTGCTTCTAGAGTGATTCAGCTCATTGTTTGGGGGCCATTTTACAGTCCTGACACAAAAGCTGTAGGCCCTGAGAGACCGGGAGAAGATGAGGCCAGGAACTGTGAGCTTCCAGGAAGAAAATTTACGCAGGTATTTAGTGAGAGGCCAGTGTTGCTAGAGTGCTAGATACCAGCAGAACTGTTGCTGGGGCAACAGGATCAATCACATGAAGCTCTAAGCAAGGAACACAGAGAAATGCACTCTGAGAGGGCTGTACGTGAACCCGGACATAGCAGCTCTGAGCCTTGGGGGAGCTCAGAGACCACACGGCCCGGAATTGCAGAATTAGGCAAGACTTCAGAGGTCAGCCGGTCAACAGGGATCAATGCATCATCCTTCCGCAATATGCCAGCCAAAGTGATTGGATAAGTTCCCTTTAGTTGTTATTGGTGAATAAAAATGCCGAGTTGGCTTCAGTCTGTTCTTTTAAATGGAGAGACTACTGGTTCCTGTAGAGCAGCAACCGTATTAAAAAAAATAGGGGTAATTGTGTGCATACATCAGATCTAGGCCAGAATCAGTCATTCTGGCACCCTGGAACTATTTGGAATGGGAGACTCAGCACGGCCTTGTTCTCCCCAGGTCACAGACAATCAAGCGACATTCAGTTCTTGGCTCAGAGACCCACAAACCACACTGTGAAGCACAGCATCACTCTCAGTTTGAAGTCATAAATGTAGTTTGAAGGGTTTGGATATACAGTACAATAGCAAAACCAGCACATGAGGACAAAGGCAGAATCCCTCCCAAAACATTGCTCCTAATCAGTAATACTTACAGATATGTCATCACTGAAGTCAATTTCATCCAAATCAAGGTATTCAGGGGCTTCCATTATTCTTCTTTGTACATTTTGGGTAAGCTTAAATGCTTATAATTTCCTAGACAAGACAGAAGAAGAAAAGAAAGGCAAAAAGGTTAACTGTTTAAAATTAGAAATATTCCCTGTACACAGACAAACAAAACAGAAAATGATGGTGGTGTTGCACGGGGGAACATTTCCTCACTCCAAAGCCCCTAGCCCGGGGCTTCCAGAAGCACAGCTCTGCCCCCGTAATTCTCTGCTTTACTTGATCTATGTCTCTGCTTGTCTTTGCCATAGTAGAAACTTGGGTTAGAATTTCCCCTCATGACAAATACTGCAGCCCATACACGGCTTTCATCACACCTTGGGTAAAAGTTTAGGCTTCAGAGAATGGGAGACAGCCGAGAAATCATAGGACACTGTGGACATATCCTTGGGTTTTGTGCATGCTAGATCTCCACAGCACCCTGCAGGTAGGTACAAAACATATCAACGAATCAAGGTAACAGCTTGGGAGAAAGAGAGGAGAGGTGGAGAGGTGGGTCTAAGTCCATATTTAAATATTTGAACCATAGTACTTTAATCACTCACATATACTGTGTGTGTGCGCGCGTGTGCTTGCTTGCTGGGACTGGGAGCTGTCCCTTAGCTCTTCTGCTCGTCACTGATGAGCCATAGCTCCACTTCCAGCTTTTCTGCCCAGGCTGGCAGATCCCAGCCTCCTGAGAAGCTAGGATTACAGGTGTGAGCCACCAGAGCTGAGCCCAATCACCTCTGTCATCAGTGCTATGTGACTGGTCCACAGATCCTCAGTCAGCACTTGCCTCAAGACCCCCTGTGGTAATCCCTTAAGCACATTCTGGTGATAGATGCCTCCTCCTCCTTCATCTCCATCACTTACGCCCGTGGGCAGGCCAGCCTCACCTACACAGCTAAGAACAGGGCTATCTTTCTCCAGGCAGCACCTTGGGGTGTAATTATCCTCCTCCCCTTAGGGGAAGGACAGCCCATTTCCTGCAACACGTCTTTCTTATTATAAAAACTGTCTTATGCAACGGGCCTGAGTTTCTGAAGCTCACTTTGCCCTACTTTGGTTCTGTAACCTTGCTGAACAGAGAAGAGACATCACTGGAAGATGAAATGACATGGAAACAGGCTTCCTAATGTAAGAGCGAGAGCGGTGAGGGACGTCTCATGCTAAACGCATTGCTTTTGTATCTCGAGCTACGCCTCATTTTAAGCCACAAAATGGCATAATGTTGATGAACAGAAAAACATATCATCCTGGAATCTTTCACCTAATTTCATTTGTCATCCTTCCTCTCCTTCCCCTCACAGAGGTATGTATTACTTTTACAGTCTTAGAAAGTCCATCCAAGAAACCATTACGTTGTCTCTCCAAGCTCAAATGACATTTGTCATTTGTGATACATCGATAAAGCTCTTCTGAAATCATAGTAAGTTTTCCTTGATTTCTGTTTACTGTAGAAGTGATGTACAGAAGGATTACAGTTACATAGGTCAGGTAATGAGTACATTTCTTTGTGAACAGTGCCACTTCTTCCCTGATTTTCTCCCAACTTTTTCCTACCAAACCCCCTCCCCCTGAGTTATAGTCTTTGTTTCTAACATAGTGTCTAGTGAGTATCACTGCTGAATTAATTCACAGTAAGTTTTAAAAGAGGAAAATCGCTGGGCACTGGTGGCTCACGCTTGTAATCCTAGTTACTCAGGAGGCTGAGATCTAAGGATTGTGGCTCAAAGCCAGTTCAATCCGTGAGACTCTTATCTCCAATTAACCACCAGAAAACCAGAATTGGCACTGTGACTTAAGTAGCTAAGCAGCAGCTTTGAGCTGAAGAGCTCAAGGACAGCACCCAGGCCCAGAGTTTAAGCCCCATGACTGACAAAAAAGGAGAAGAAGAAGAGGGAGAAGGAGGAGGAGGAGGAGGAGGAGGAGGAAGAGAAGGAGGAGGAGGAGGAAGAGGAGGAGGAGGAGGAAAATCATTTTATATGTGCAAAATCTTTTTTCTTAATGCCACTCTTGGAGCTATAAGTCAAAGCCTTGTCTTGTCACTCAAGGCTGGTGCTCTGTCACTTAAGCCACGTCAGCTTTTCCAGCATTTTCCTAGTTCTTTGGAGATAAGGTTCTCTTGTATTTGCTTTCACAGCCTAGTTTTGAGCTTCAATCCTCAGATGTTTGTCGCCTGAGGAGCTAGATTACAGGTACGATGTACTGTAATCCTCCTCAGGAGGCTGAGATCTGAGGATTGCAGTTTGAGGTCAGCCCTGGCAGGAAAGTCCATGAGACTCTCGTATCTTATCTGTAATTCACCACCAAAAAGTTGAAAGTGGAGCTGTGGCCCAAGTGGTAGAGTGCTAGCCTTAAGTGCAAAAGCCCAGGAACAGCACTCTGAGTTCAAGTCCCAGGACCACACACGTGTGCGTGTGCGTGTGTATGTACACACACACACACACACATACACACACACAGAGTTACTTTCTCTCTAAACCTCACATACACATTCATTCTTGTAAACTACTCAATAGAACTTTATCTCAGTCTGATGGATTCGGAGACAATACATATTGTTTGGATTCTAGTTCTTCAGTTAACAGATTGACTTCCAACCCAACTTCTTTTCACCGAACCCATCTCCTGTGGTGAGCTGATCTACAGACTATCTCCTGGGCTTGGTTAACAGTCCAAAATGATGCAGGGTGTTGGGAGGGTTGCAGACCCAGACAAAGAGCACAGAAGTAGCATGCTAATCCTTTCTTGGATAGGCTCTTTGCCTACTATAATTATAATTATGCAACAATGATATGTGCCTGTGGGAAAGAGAAAACAGACAATTAAATTAAGTAGACTGTTTTCTGTTTTTGTAAGTTTATTCTTTTGGAGCTGAAAGAAAGCAAAAGCAAAAAAGGAGTAAGTAGCCAGGTGCTGGTGGCTCACACCTATCATCCTAGCTACTCAGGATGCTGAGATCTGAGGATCACAGTTCAAAGCCAGCCCGGGCAGGAAAGTCTGTGAGACTGTTACCTCTGATAAACCACTAGAAAACCAGAAGTGGCATTGTGGGTCAAGCAGTAGAGCGCCCACCTTGAGCTGAAGAGCGCAGGGACAGTGCCCAGGCCCAGAGTTCACGTCCCACAACCCACACACACACAAAAAAAGAGTAAGTGATGTATTCAGAATCACAAGGAACATGGAATTTTAAGGCATACAACATCCACAAAACCTAGGTTGGAGTTGGGAAACAAGTGAATCTTGAAATATATACGAAGACCAAGTGTAGGTGAATGTTTCTTAACTATCAAATCAATCATCGAACCCCTATTTGAGATGCTCTGAAAACAGAGAGGGCAATATTCACTGCAGTGAAGCCATGCTTAACAGAACCTAGCCAGAGGGGTATTAAGTCAAGACAACAAAGCAGAAAGCCTTTGTATTACTCCTTGGGGTCAATGAGAACGTCGTCAGCCACTGCTCATGTCTGCATCGGTCAGATGAACCAGTCTCAAACTAAGGTCTTCTGGCATCTGGAACTTTCCATTACTCCCTTGTAGGCTTTGGTAGACAGCCATCTGCTTTAAGGTGGTTTTATTTTTCCGTCTCTAGCATGGCTCTTGTGTCTGGCTTCAATGCCTCTCCCTTTCAAGGTGTCATTTTCACGGTGTTTACATTGTCGCCGAGTAAAGAAGTCCCCACGGTTCACCAGCTCTGGCTACATTTCCAGCTGGTGCTTTACAACGAGGAGCCAATCCTCAGTGGTCTCCATGGTCATTACTACGCCTCCCCATCGCATCTGTCCTTCCGCTGGGCACCTGGCCCCGCAGTAACTCCCTTCCCAGCAGCGAGGGTGACAGGCGGAGGAGGAGGTCGGGGTAGGGCAGCTGCTGCCCAGCATCGACAGCAGGAGGAAGCCAGACCGAACTTTGGACACTTTTCTCTTGTTGCTCTTCTGCAATCGCCCATCCATCTGCAGTGGAAACCAAGGAATCCCCTCCTTCCGTGGATGACACCTGCGTGCTACCCAAGTCCAGCTACGCCAGGCACACACTGGAGATCCACGGGCTGAGTCTGGCCCACAGATGTGATTACTTTGGCCTTAGTCGTAGTTTCAAAGTCAAATCAGTTGCCAACGTGTAGACACAGAAGTCTCAATCTCTGGCTTTGCTTGAAGAAATATCCGTCGTTCTGGCAATGTCTTCATCCGACAGCAGATGGGTAGGGCTGTGTGGCAGCTGTTCCTACCTGTCCAGGAAGCATCTGCCCCTGCGCTAGGGACCCAGTCCTACTGCTGAGCTGGGGCATTGAGTAGTTGACTCTTGGAAGGCATTCAGTGTGAAACAATCAGTACTACCTCTACATGGATAACACCAGTCCTACCTGAGTTTAATCGGTGTCCCCTGCTCAAAACATGGATTTCATTTGTATCTCAAGTTCATTTTCCATTCTCATAACACAAGAACAACAAAATAAAAACTTCTTACAAATGTCACAATTTTGTGCTTCTAGGTTATCTTCATTTTTTTTTTATCTCTTAGGACTAGAAGAAAAAAAAAGCCTTTATAAACACAATGAAATGTTACGAGGTGAGGATTACGTCCCCTTTGCTTTGCAGTGGGGGGACGGAGGGTCTGCTGTGACATGGTACCGCTGCCCTGCTGTGTGGAGGGACCTCGGCCTCACCCCTAAAGGCTGTGGAGAGTCGGTCCAGGTTCTGGGAGCTGTCCTGAGGCTTTCGTCTACACTGCAACTCTTCTTTGTCAAAGTCTTCTCACGACCTGCCCATTGTAGGCGACTGACCGAAATCGTGTGATTTCAAGCTTATCTGGGCTCTTACTCTTTTTCTCCCCTGCACTGGCTCGTGTAATGTGTCATTCGGTTAAGTGATAGGTCTGTTATGTGTTACAATTTCTTTTTGAAGTGAGGAAAGAAGATTCAAGTTGAGCAAGAGGTAAAAGACAAGAGAGAAAGGTAAAGGAAGCGTGTTTTACTAGTCTAGCTCTCCTGACTTGGGTAGGAAGAATGATAGGGAGAGAAAGACGAATATTAGCGTGT